CACTTTCGGGTATTCCAGTCAGCTGCCGCAGCTTTGTAGACTTGCAGGCATGGATCGGTTCGTCACTCAGAAACTGAGCTGGAACAATATCAACAACTTCCCGCATACCACCTTCATGTGGGTGAGTCCTGATGGGAGCCAAGTGATCTGCCACATGCCCCCTTCGGAGACCTATACAGCAGATGCAAACCTGGGAGACGTCAAACGGAGCATAACACAACACAAGACCATGAGAGTTGACAACACATCGCTTCTTTTGTTCGGAAAGGGCGATGGAGGTGGTGGCCCAACCTGGGAGCACTTTGAAAAGCTAAGACGCTGCGCTGGAATCAGCAACACTGTTGGCGGAATTCCCAAGGTGAAACTTGGGCACACTGTGGACGACTTCTTTGGCCGTCTTGCTCCCAAGGCAAGCGAATTCCCCACTTGGTATGGCGAACTCTACTTTGAGCTTCACAGAGGCACATACACAACACAGGCAAACAACAAATACTTCAACCGCAAGTCAGAGGTGTTGCTCAGAGAAATCGAGCACCTGGCAACCATTGCTTCACTCAAGTTCAAGGGCTACAAGTACCCCACGGAAGATATCGATAACATGTGGGAATCTGTCTTGCTTTGCCAATTTCATGACTGCCTGCCTGGAAGCTGCATCGAGATGTGCTACGATGATTCTGACAAAGTGAGTAATCTCCCAGTCTCCTCTCTCGCAATTGACGACTAATAAGTGATTTCTCAGCTCTATGCCGAAGTCTTCAAGACTGGCAATAAACTTTTGAAGGAGCTCTATGGATATTTTGGCCTGTCGGAAGTTCGTTCCAACTGTCTGCAAGAATCTGTGGCCATCAACAACATACCCTGGCACCGTGAGGAATTTGTTGAGATCTCTGAAACTGAGGTCGGCATTGTCAGCGGTGAAGGTGAACTTCTCCGTCTCCAGTCACAAGATTCCACATCTGGAGTCTCCGCACAGGAGACATCTTCGGGAGTATTTGTTCTTGCAAACGATCAGCTTCGTATCGTGGTTGACCACGGTGTTATTGTGTCCCTCTACGACATTACAAACGACCGAGAAGTCATAGAGAAGGGTGGACAGGCCAACAAGTTTGTCATTTTTGATGACATCCCACTCTACTGGCAGGCTTGGGACGTGGAAGTCTACCATCTCGGCACACGACGACAGTTGGAACATGGCGAGACGAGAATTTTTGAACAGAAACCGCACAAAGTTACTCTTGTCACAGAGGTCAAAATCAGCGAGGAAAGCTCACTGAAGTCCTTCATCACCCTGTCGGCATCTCTGAATGGTCAGCCTTCGCAAGTGGACTGTTCAGCAGAGGTCGATTGGCACGAGAATTCCAAATTCCTCAAGGTTGAGTTCCCAGTTGATATTGTCAACACAGAAGCATCATACGAGACAGCCTATAGCATTACCAAGCGCCCTACTCATTACAACACAAGCTGGGATATGGCTAAATTTGAGGTGTGCTGCCACAAATTTGCCGATCTTTCAGAACACAACTATGGTGTCTCCATCTTGAACGATAGCAAGTACGGTTTTGCGACGGCCGGCAAGACAATGCGTCTGTCCCTGCTTCGCTCTCCTAAAGCACCCGATGCGCATGCTGACATGGGGCACCATTCCATCCGATGGGCGATCCTCCCGCACAAGGGCTCTCTGTCATCCGTGACTGTGAAGGCCGCCTATGCTCTCAACAACCCTCTCACAGTTCTTTCAGGTTCCAAGGCAGCCATCGCTTCGCTCTCTGGCTCCTCTATCAAGCTCGTTAACGAAGATGACTCGGAATCACTCGTTCTTGACACCATCAAACGTGGACACGATGATGAGGATGTCACCCGACGTGAAGGAACTCGTATCAACCCTGGGCAGAGCATAATTCTACGTGTATACGAGTCACTGGGGGGACACAGTAAGGGTACCATCCAGACTGCATTCCCCATCAAGCGAGCATCAAAGGCGAATATCCTCGAAGACGAACTTGAAGAGATTGAGGTCAAAGATGGAAAGGTCGCGATTAAGCTTAGACCATTTGAGGTTGCCACTTTCAAGCTTCAACTTTAGGATGATCAAGAAGCAGATTGTATGTGCCCACCGCCCACGGGCCTTCAGGCTATTACGAAGCTTTGAGCATGGATTCTTGTTTATCAGTAGCACTCGATCATTATTATTACCTTGAAACCTCGCACAGCAATAGCTTAAATTTAGTTCCCTAAGCGTGACAAACTTCTATGAAATTCAAAACTTTCCAGCGCCAACAAGTCAAGATGCGTTTTGCTGATTCAGAATCGGTACTATGAACATTGAAACAATTCCAGAAAATGGGAAGAAGGGATATATGGCTAAAGGGAAAGTTGTAAACACGTAGGCCAGCATTCATCAGTCACACTCGGTGACACTGGTGGGTTCTTTTTATCATACATTATGAACCTGCAGCGGCGTGCTCATCCTAATACATCATCATGACAGAGGGAAATGTCCGCGAAAGCCCCAACAGAAGCTGTTTTTTTTTCATACTCGACGAAGCTATTCGGCATCCTCTGGTAATTCGTCAATGACGTCCTCCACCATCATGATGAGCTCGTCGATATCCGGCCGCTCGGCGGGCTCAACGGCAAGACATTTCCGGACGACCTGGCGGATCGGCTCACTGATGCTGGCGCTGGGGGCGGCGGGGGCGTTGGCCGAGCTGCCCTGCGGGTTGCGCATGCTGTTGGAGCGCTTGACGCCGGCGGGCCCTTCGTCGGGGAAGCGCCAGTCGCCGCCGAGGACGCACAGGCTGAGGGTGCCGCCGGTCTCGTCGGAGCGCATCTCGAAGGGGGACTTGCCGACGAGGCAGGCGTAGAGGGTGCAGCCCATGGACCATATGTCCGTCTTGGTGTCGATGACGGTGCCGGTGCGGACGTCGAAGAGCTCTGGGGCGCGGTAGGGCATGGTGGAGTGCTCGGCGGCGGTGTCTTGGATCTGGAGGGCGACGGAGTTGGAGGATACGGGGATGGGTGAGGGGGCGACGGAGCCGAGATCCATGAGGATGGGGGCCGCGCCGGAGTCGTCGATCATGATGTTGCCTGTTTATATTGTTAGACTGGACAGATAGGAAGAGCGTAGGAAGGGGGAGAGAAATATACCTGGCTTGATATCACGATGGGCATAGCTCTGCGTCTTGCCCCCGGGCCCCGAGTTGCGGACCGAGTTCTCCGCCTCCATCAGCGGCCGCTCCTGCTCGCCCTCCTCCTCCAGCTCCGTCCTCTTGCTGCTGGTGCCGCCCTTGCTGTTCTGCTCGTGGTGGGCGCTGGCCTCGTCGCCCATCTCCATCCGCTCGACGGGGGTCTTGTACTTGTGCATGGCGCGCAGGGCCCTGCAGACGCCGAGGAAGAGGGTCATGAGGTGGCGCTCGGGGAACTGGGCGTGGTTGACGAGGTTGGCGTTGATCATGTCCTGCAGGTTGCCCCGGCGGTAGTAGGGGAGGAGGATGTAGACCGTCTTGGAGGCCTCGTCGCCGCCGCGCTCCGTCGCGACGCTGTGGTCGAAGGCGGAGATGATGGACGGGACGTGGGCGAAGAGGCGGTAGGCGTCGACCTCGCGCATGGCCTGCTGGACGGACTCGGCGCCGAAGGGGCAGCGGATCTTCTTGAGGGCGAAGAGCTGGTGGCCCGAGGTGTCCTCGACGAGGTAGACGTACGAGAAGCCGCCCTCGCCGAGGAGCTGGAGGATCTTGAAGCTGCGCCCGTTGATCTTGAGCGTCGGCGAGCCGGGGAAGCAGTTGAGGCAGTTGCCCAGCGAGTAGACCAGGTCGAGGACGATTTGCGCCATGGCGGCGGCGGGGGACGGGGTTTGCCTTGGGCAACCTCGGATGGACGAGGGGGGGAGAGCGGCGTTGCTTTGATTGTTGGAGTTTTCTTGAATCGACGGATGCTTCGCTTCGCACTGCTGGCAGCCCTGGCAACGAGCGGGCCGAGACTGGGGAATTGGGTCCTGGGTCGTTTCACGGGCAGAAGGACAGGTAGCGATGGGTCAATGAGGCGTCGTGGAAATGGAATTGGGAGAGAGCGGAGAGGTTGATGCTGTGTCAGATCCCCGGATTAGATGTAGTTAGTTAGATAAGAGCTATGGCAGGTGGTTGCTGTCGGCTGTGTACGTATGCCGAATGGGTCCATCGACTGTGGACATTGGTGGATGTATCTGCTTGGTCGATATGTAGGTGACCTGTAAGACAAGCTACGTACACCCTTGACTTTACTGTATGCGTTGCTACCCTAAGCTTTTATTCGACGCAGGCCAGTACGTAGCCACGGGCTGAGCTTAACCACAGCCAAGGACGGATAGCGCCACAGCACCGCCACAAATGGTACATATGCTCATGAACTTATTTTTAGCTCCGGCATATCGCTTGTTTCGCCCGATGCAAGTACGTAAGTCAGTCTATACTTGTTGAACCTGTCTTGTTCATTAGACGACACACTGTTTTACTCTCATTTGATATAGATACCATTTAATTTTTCTCCGACTCTGCCTGCTTGAATCTCTACCAATTCTACCAAAACATGAAATGCGCTTGCATCCTTGTGCGTGTCCCAGATAAAAATCGTGTTCGCGGGAGCTGCGGATGATAATTGTGTTCAAATCTCAACTCCAAAGTTAGTTTTCTACCGCCCACTTTAGATGAATTCCAGACCGTTTGTGCTACAATTCCCCAGCACTCTACCTATAGCCCCAAAGTTTGATTCAGAAAAAAGACAATCGCCTCAACACCATTAGAGCTTCAAAAAAAAGAAGGGGAAAAAATCGAGTCCAATATCCCAATGTTGTGATGTAGCAACGCCTCCTGCCCAAAAAGAAGACTTGAAAAGAGAAAATCCGATTGCTTTCTTGACTCATCATCATCCAGCCAAAATCGACAAAATACAAGTATAGCCTCGTGAGATGATGCTCGAGGTAATACGTTCATGCGCCTTCTATACCCATAGGACAGGCTCTATTCTTAAGAGAGCAGATTGCGGAGAGAGGGACTTGCACTTGCCCCCGATGTTGGTCGAGACTCGGGCCCATTCCTAGGCGGGTGATGTCCAACGGGAGCAGACTCCTGAGGGGGGGGCAAGGTATGCCCTACCCCGAGTGGGCTACCATGCGGCCCAGAGAATGGTGGTCTAGGAGGCGTCAGGCCAGGTTGGTATGGCTCTGGCCTATGAGGCGGCACCCCGTTGCTCAGCCCATGAGGAGGTCCATGGTGACGGGGTGGTCCAGGTACGGGCGCCGGGGCATAGGGCGTAGAATATTGTGGTTGCGGAGGTGGGCCAGCGCTGCGGCGTGGCGACGGTGGCAAACCGTTCACATAGGGCTGAGCTCCATGTCCATGGGGCGCCGGTTGATGCAGAGGTCCTGGGGGAGGAGGTGGCGGTGATACGGCCATGGGTGGAGGTCGTAAGGAGGACATTGTATTCAGAGGTGGACCGCCGGCCAGAGGAGGCCCATTGTTCAAATGCTGCGAGGGGGGTCCTGGTGGATTCCCCGGTCGGGGACCCCAATCGCCATAGATGCCGCGAGGAGGCTGGATAGGCGGCGGTGCTACAGGCCCTGCTGGCGGGATAGTTGACGAAGATGGCGGCGGTGGGTAGCCAGGAGGGGCGAGGGGGGGTCTGGCATCACCAATGCGAACAAGTCGACCTCCAGGCCCGGGCGCGGGCGCGGCGAAAGGATGCGTTGGGTGCGACGGGGGAGATTGAGACCAAACCTGATGATAGGGAGCTCGCACATCCCGGCTCTCCGTGTACAAGGGCGCGGGGCTTCGCAACGGAGTGGTCAAGTTAGGATAGCTTGACTCGACCGGTGGAGGACGAGCAGGCTCAGCGACAAGCGACGTAGGCTGAGGGTGATGAGTTTTGGGTGTGCGATTCGTCTTTCGACACTTGTGGCACTGGAACTTCCTCTGTTCCACAAACTTCTTTGCCTCATCTCCCAACGAGCCATAGTGACCATTTGTGAGCTCTCGCTCTTGTGATATATTTGTGGCCCACCACTTGGGACTGACATCGATACCGCAACTGATACAGACCTTTTCCCCTGCAGGTTGGGTGTCAGTTGAGGAAACAGCGCCTTCTCCGCTGCGGGCATGCGATGTTCCCCCGTTGACGGGTTGAATGGTCGAGGCTCTCCGAGCTCCTGGTTGCATTAGAGTGCCCGACATCTTTGCTGCCGTGGTCATCAGGTTTGCCTTGCGCACCGTGCCAGTCAATGTCAGGTCTGCCTGCTTATAATTTTGCACATAGAATTGGAGCAGGTTCAGAGACTCGTTAGAGTCGCTGGGATCCACCTCTTCGTGCATCTGATGCACGGCGGGTTTGGTCGAACCGTGGTCTTTACACCACAGGGTTGCCGTCATAGTCCCACTCTCCCCTTGAATAGATACGATGTTGTGTTGGTCTCGCTTAGAGCTTTTAACTGGCGTGATCTCAAATCCAAGGATGTGATCTTGCTTTCGAGCACACTCAACATGGAAGGAAAGGCGGCATTGCTGACATGAAACACAGGCGCCGCCTTTCTCGTTGCAAGCACTGCAGGTCTCGTCATATCGTGCTCTTGGGATGGAGGGTATCCCTTCCGAAGGCATCAACGCTTTTGCATTGCCGAATCTGACCTCCGGGGTCCATACGGCACAAGTTACGTGTACCCAGTTGTTGTCGGCCGTCCGCTTCAAGGGTTCACGAGGGTTGACAGGTCGATTCAGCTCTTCTTGCTTTTTGCGATAATGTTCTGCCGCTTTGCGAGCCTGCTGCACTTCCAGCTTCTCTCGTTCGCGATCTTTCTCTGACATCTTCTTCTTATGATGAGTGAGCTTCGGCTGCTCAACAAAATCATGTTCAGTAAGTTCCACCGGGCAGAGTACGCATTTGTATTGCTATAGTTGAATCAATTGTTAGTCAAAATCAGATGGGTCAGTCCCAATCACAACAAAACTTACAATAGAGACCTGGGGGTTCTTATCATTAGTGCACATGTCGCACGTCCACTTATTAAGGGACTTCGCTGTATCAAGAACACCGTAACATTTCTGATGGACAGGGAGGCGACACTCCCGGCAAGAGAGATGGTTATCGAGCGGCTCGATTTGGGCGCAAATGGCGCAAGGAAGAGTTCGGGGTTTGGGCATCTCAGGAAGGGGAGACGTTTCTGAGGTCTTTTCTGAGGCCTTCTCCTTCTTTTTGGAAACCACACCACCAGATGTACTTCCACCATCCGAGTCGGTTTCTTTTTCCGGTGCGGCACTCTTGAGCTTCTTACGGGGTGGTTCACCCCCGTTAGCGGCTGGCGTGCCATTTGCGATTGCCAGGGGAGGTTCGGGTGCAAGCAGGCCCATTTCCTTCACGGCCTGCAGCTCTTTCAGAAGCTCTTCGTCTTGCTTGCGCTTCCAGGCTTTGCCTCCTGACTGAGCAACCTTCTTGGCTACTTCATCGATGTCCTCCCACCGGATAGCATACCGCCGCCACAGCTCAGCACATCGAGAACACAAGGCAATGACGTACTGGCTACCTTTGTCCTTTCCTGTGGATTTGAGGCCATTCTCGTTCACCAGGCCTGGAGTGGCATTTGGGGCACGACGCCAACGTCGTGAGCTGGTGCTTGTGCAAAACTGGCACATAAAGGATCGCTTCTTCTCCGATGCCTTTCTCGAATCAAACGCAGAGTCGTCATCGTCGTGCGCGACATCGTCCGCAACCTTGGTGAGTGCCTCGGCTTTCTTGGCTTCCTTCTTGCCCTTCCGTCCTGGATAGCTGCCCCATACTGGCTTCCCGCGGTCTGATTTCTTCCATGTGTAGTAAAACCGGACCACCTGTCCAGGGGTCATTGTTTTGACGTGCTTCATGACAAGATGGAGTTCTGAGCCGTATTTTGAAACAGCCTCTTCGAACTTCTTCAGTTCATTGGCGGACGGGGATGGTTCCTTGAACAATTTGATCTCAGTCGATGCAAGGTCCTTCATTGCCTTTTCAGGATTATATTTGTCTTTGAACAAGCAATTCAGTGCAATGTCCTGCAAGTTAGTTGACCGTCTTGGAAGGCCAAGCTTATCTGCTTGTCCCTTTGCTTCCTCCATATAATCTAATGATTTTTGGGCGGTTTCTTCGGATGTTGGAGGCTTCCAGAGCAGAACAGATGTTGCGTTCGGGTCGTTAGGGTCAACGTAATCCTCTCCACGAGATGTGTATCCAGGAGGCATGTCCTGAACCCATTTTGGACGCTTACCGTCCGGGTACAAATCGGCAGCCTGGGCAGCTTGTGCCTCCCTATTGGCTTTGGCGTCTTTCCGTCCGCCCCTCCTCGTCTCGGGTGGTTTAACGTACTGCACAGTTCGTCCAGGCCAGGGCCCCACGTTGGCCTGGTGACGAGGTCCAATTCTGGTGCTTGCGCGCGGGTAGATACGATCATCATAGTCGAGAGCGTCTTCGGGCTTGCAGTGCATGCCCAGATATCTCCATGGCCAGAGGCTTGCCTGGTAAATTTGCTCGGCGGTGCCTTGGTGATGAGGCTCGGCATCCTCCGCAGGAGTGGTGCCCCCAGTCCCACCAATTTGGATGTCATCCTCATCGTCCTCCATAAGCTCGTCATCGTCGCCGTCCACGGCAAGATTAGGCGTATGGCGAGCCTCAAGTTTGCGCTCTTGAGCTCTGCTGCAGGCGGCACATGACCAGGCAAATCCTCGAGAAGGCTTTTTCAAGAGCGGCGGCTTCACGCAGTTCATATGATAGGTTTGCTGGCAGACAGCACAATCGACAGAGTCATTGCTATAACGGGGTGGGGCGCACAGTTAGCTTGATGAAACGCGCACACCACACACACAGACGGACGACCAAACAATTCACAGGTACCGCAGGTGCGGCGGTGTAGTGGGAGGGAACCACACCTAAAGGAGCGGCGGCTGAGGTGACTAATTGCAGGGAGCCCCCAATGGAAAGGGACGGATAGGTGGTGGGATGGCATGGGATGGATGTGATGGATGGTAAGGTAAGTAGGGCAGCAGGTACGTACCTTGCACAGTAGCCAGTGCATCTCTTGCAGGACTTGACGGCGCTAGTCAGCTCTTTGCCTCGACCCTGCTCAACCAAGACAAACTTCCAGCGCTCGTCGAGGACCTTTTTTACTTTTTCCGGCACGTTGACAATGCCCGACGTCGGGATCAGGTCGTAGTTTTTCTGGATGTAGCGGTCGTAGAGCTTTTCGAACCAGAAATTGTCCGGCGTGCGACGATACTCATCCATGTTTTTTATCTCCACCCTGTGCCGGATCTGACACTTTCCTCGGAGTGCTGTCAGGGGACTGATGTCCGAGTGCATCGTTGCGAACACAATGCGCGTGTCGTGCACCTTGCGGCCGATGTCCCGGGGGCGATAAAACCAATTGATGCGCAGCGCATCGACCGGCTTGGAGGTGTCATTCTGCGGGTGCAGAAACTCCATGATGCGCCCCAGATAGTACGGCTCTCCAGGCGGCTCACAGACGAGGTACACATGATCTAGAGTCAAAGTTAGCGGTGGATCATGCTGCGAATGGTGCCACTAGGTACTCCAACCCGAGTACGTACCATTTGCCTCCAACACCGTCCCATCATCGGCCACCAGCCGCCCGTTCTGCGGGCGGGCCTTGCAATTTGAAAATGTCAGCACATTTGACTCGGGGTAGGAGGCGGACGAGGAGGTCTGCGCCGAATTGCCCGTTTTCCTCGTTGACGATGCCGCCGTGTCCTTGGTTTGCTGGTTTGCTGCATTGCCAGCCTTGCGCTTCCTCGATGGCTGCGACGCGTTGTTGGTGGTGGTAGTGGTGGTGGTGGAGGAGGAGGATGCATGGGTCGCCTGCGGCGTTCCTGTGCCACCACCGCTGGAGGTCTGTTCCTTGGAACCACCACCATTCTGCGACGACCCAGCTTTGGCATCATCACCCAGAGATTTGCGTGAAGCCGCATTCGCGCGGCCGTTCTCACCATTGCTCGCGCCATTAGACTGCCGCGATGGCCGTTTGGTGTCATTCTGATTTTTCTCAGCATCATAGTCATACATCTCCACGTCGTAGTTGTCCTCTGCGTAATTGGGACGTGGTCTGTTGCGAGAGCGAGTGCCATATGGAGCAGCCATTTCCGCAGCGGCATCCTTTTCTAATGCATCCTGCCCGGAAGAGCCAGACATCTGCTCGCTGGCGGACTTGCCGTCCGCCTCATTGAGCTTTGAGTCCTGCGACGAGAATTAGCATTCTGATATAGATGCCCGGCAATGATTGAAAAGAGAAAAGGCGACGGAGGTGAAAATGAATACGGCCATATACAAATGCATATATTCGGTATTATTTGAGATTGAGATTCGTGAGGACTCACATTCTGCTGTGCCATCAGGGCAGTAAACTGCTAGGTATGTGTGATGAAGAGAGTGAGGGCGATCACGTATGGATGCATGCCCGGGAGAGGTGAGTTGGGGCGCGCGTGTGTGAGACTCAGTCGATGAGGGGACTCCAGAAAGAAAAAGAAAGTTAGATCAGTCGCGACGGCCGACTTGAAAGAGAGGATTCACAGGGACGGTCAAATCGATCAGGAGCTCACCCATGCCATGGGGACCGGATTGAGCATGCATGAGCGAAGGAGGAAGAGAGAAGAAAGATGAAGGTTCCCCAGAGGTGTGTGAGTGAAGTAATAAGGCAAGGTACTCTGCTCTCTCTGCTCTGCTCTGCTCTACGCTCAGAGAGAGTACCGGGACAAAAAGCAGAAATGGAAACGTCCTGCTGGCGCCGCCTGCGCAGACCAGGACCAGGACCAGGCTCATCCAGACTCCACTTTCCTAACAGCGCACGGGGGGCGGAGCTAGCCGCCAGGTCCAGCCTGGTACTCGCTAACTGGCCTCTGCGTCTGCACGGCTGGCCGAACAATAGGGCGCGACCCGTGTCGACCTCTCGCGGTGCCCCCTTGCTGCCATCCGTTGCCTTAGTGCCTACAACACCCTCCACTTACCTCTAATACCTCTACCTCAGTCCCCACACGGGTCCATCTGGCTCTGCACCAAGGACAAGCACGGCACGAGGAGGAGCGGATGAATCTCAACCCAAATTCTACGAGGCGCGGTGTCAGAGAGGTACCACCGCCTATTCAGGTCATCGCCCGGCCCATCATCTGGACCGTCGCCGACACGTCTTCTTCCTTTTCTACCCCATGCTCCCAGACTCGGCACTGTCTCCTACGCTGCCCTCGGCGGCCTCGCCCAAGGTCACGGCTCACAGTTGGGGGCTCTTCGGGGCTCTCCATGTAGCATGTAATAATCCCCTAAAATGAACCCTGCCTTGGCCAGCATACCCGCGGCGGCGGCTTAGATAGGGCTTGCGACATCCATCGCCCATGACCGCGACACCCATCGTAGCTACCAACCTGCACTTTTCCCACCGGCTTTCGGTATATGCATTTAATGCTTCCTATTTGAAAGAGACATGCAGCCAGCCGCTGTGACGAGCCATGTCCTCGTTTTGAGGGGGGGTGTGGGTTGATGGACTCCGTGTAGGTGAAGAGGGAGGTGTGCAGGCGGCGATGGATACACATAGAAGGTAAGGAAATCCATAGTATTACCGTCGGTAGGTATGTTAAAATCAGTGTGCCATGGCCAAGCTCGACTTAGCGCCGGTGCCGTTATTGCTTTGGCTCAGCTTGGCGTGGGCTGGTGTCTCATCAGAGCCCCCCGGCCCTTTGGAGGAATTATATCGGTTCTGAGATTAATGCGCCCGGACTACTATTACGACATGCGCGTTGGCATCGGAGAGTGCTGGATTGTCTGCCATCTATGCTATTGCGTTTGATATCCCACTGGCCGGATTCCAAAGCCTACGCGGTGTGCTAACGACAGTCTGAGAGGTGGCGAACGGGAAAGGGTGGAAGGGTGGGGAGCAGGATGTCGAGATGAAAATTACCAGCAGCGACAAAACCTTGCTTACGGCAGTAGCAGAGAAAATGACCAGAGCGAGGCTGCGACCAAGATAACACACATCTTAATACGATGCCTCCAGCCCAAGTTTTTTACGACCCAGACAGGCGCAGGTTTCTTTTGGCTGTGGCCGCCCTGGCAAGGCTGTGCTGGGGCGGCTTCGAAGGGGGGAGCGAAGAAGGTTTGTGGCTCCAAGGCGCCCAGGTGAATAACATTTGCATATTCAGGGCCGATTGATCCGTGCTGCCTCCTCGGAATGACTTAACTTTCCCCGTGTAAATTCCCAGGTGATCAGTCACACATTGAGGCCTGGCGACGTAATGCCTAGACAGTATGGGGGTTTTTGGCTGCGCAGCCCAGGCGCTAATTTGACTCGTCTCTTTAATCTCAGGTTCACAGAGCTAACCAGGAACCTCATTCTGAACACCGAGCCTTGATTCGGCAGACTGACAAAAGCTCATTCCAAAGTCTCTGCTTCACGGGTTGCCCGCCTTGCCGGGGAGGGTGGACGGCCAGACGTTCACTTTTAAAGCGGCGCTGCGCAGTGATCCATTTGGACGCCTGGAGCGAGCGGCATTGGTCAATGTATATTCCTGGCAATTATTAACAAGAACAGGAGTATAATAAGAATAGCCCTCGGCTCCCAGCAGGCTGCAGGTAGCAGGTTGATTGATGACACCATAGGCTCACCGCACCAGCGATGGCGGAAACTAAACCAGTATCTGGCGTTGGCGATCTCCGCCAGGCATTTGTGCATACCGGCTGTTGCCATTTGCTTGGCCACCTTTCGCCCATATGGCCTGCTCACTAGGCAGGTGCTAAGTCGGTAGTGTGAGAGTGAGCTTATGAGGCTTGGGGATTTCTCCCTGAGGCCCGTTGACCCAGCCTGCGATCTGTCGGAGCTGCCTCGGGGAGCCCTGGGAAATAGGCGAGCCGGTATGATAACCAGTGGTTATGCCAGCTCATCCGCATTTTCCGCCACTGTTTCTTTACCCTGGTCGGTCCACTGGCTGACCCTGGCGTTAATCGTGACATTTTCCTCAGCGCCATCATCCTGTTCTCACCTACCCAAAATGAACAGAGCCTAGAAGAATAATTACAGCTCCTTTGTCGCTCCACTTGGCCATACTCAACTGTTACGCCAAGCTCTCGGAACATTTAGTCGATGCTTTTCTCGTTCTTGTAGAGGGGGGAGGAAGAGGGGCGTTCGCATCAGGTTTGAACGTCTAGCATAGGGCATCGTCGACGATGTTGCATCCACCCATCGACACCATGAAGGGCACCGCAACGGCCAGGGCGGATATGGCGCACAAATGGTTCTTGCATGTCGTCCATCAGCTCGCTATTTTGATCCCCTTGTTCTGCTCAGATGCCCATCATTACGTTGAAGAACCGATTTGATTTTTTTTGTCCGTGGTTGCCCAACGGCGACGCCCACAAGCTAGCCTCAGACTCCGAACTGACATTGAAAAAGCTGGAACAATGCTTCCCCAGCCACTCTCTGTTTTGGGGTTGGTGGGATCAACTTTTTGTGGGCTCGAGAGAGATCAGCGACGCCCACCATCACCACAGGCCATCAAGCCTAGGACCAACGGGCGCGCTCTGGCTTCTCGCCCACGAGAATCTAGAACAGCGGACCACCACCCGCTGCTCTGGATCTCAAGAGGGCGAGGAATTAGCCCCAAGAGCCGGCACTATCTCACCCCGTCATCGATGCGGGTGTAGGCGACGATACGGATCTGACCACTGTGCTGCCCATGCACATCGCCAGAAACCCAGAGTGGCGCCCCCATGGGCCTCTACAAGATAATCACGTTACTACTTGGTATCTGCCGCCGCTTGACTCACTGGTCAACAGTGTGCCACCCTCCCATTGGCGACGTTCCTTCTCGTCGCTGCCCTCCAATCGCTTGTCAAGGCATGCTGGTGAATTGTGATTACGGTCTGAGTGCACATGGACGTACAAACAAAGCAGCGTGCTAGGTACAATGGTGTGTGGGTGGGTAGTGTGCCGTCGTCCCTTTGCAGAGCGCAGGGATGGGCCATTGTCGAAGTGCGATGGAAGGCTGCGTTACCTTGCCTTGATTTCTACAAACGCGGGCGGGAACCCAAAAAGCAAGCACAGGCTCCAGTACCGAATCTAATAATTACACCTGCTGAATCAACTCGTACACTAGGGCGGCCCATCTGGGCGGGGGGGAGACAAGCGCAGGAGGCTTTGTTTTCCCCCCCCTCTCTTTTTCTTGATGAGAAAGCCGAGTATCAAAATGAATTCTTGCTGACTAGAACTTGCTGGAGGTGGCGGCCACCCGAGTAATGTGCAATGTGCCGTGTCGGAGCCTACAGCATAATCGACTGTAGTTGGATTGGCGAGTGGAAGCCGCTCGACGGGGAAGCTTTGGGTTAAGTGATTGCAGCTCATAGTTTGCCCCCACACGCCCCCTCACCCCCCTGCCCTACCCTGTCTGCCTCGACGAAACCTTGGGAGGTACATCCAGTCCCTTTTGGTGTGCCATCTGCCTCAGGTCGTCGCGGCGGGATGCAGCAGAGGACACCCGGCCTGACCTCATCCCAGGGCAGCCAGGCAGGGCTCCCAGAGTGCACCGGACACAACTCTGCTTCTCTACACCTGACCACGTGCCAAACAGAAATCACCCACGGCCCTCCTCTGCTGCTTCCCAACAAGACATCCTGGAGAGATTAAATTCCAACACCCTACCTAGGTACTGCCGACAGCTGGCAGGGCGGCTGGCCACATGGTGATTGGCAGCGGCGGCGACCGAGCCTGTTCCCAGGCGCAGCGCGCAGATGCTTGCCTGTGGAAACCTCTGGAAAGACCCGACAGGACCAGGATTTGGGAAGATAGAAACGCCTGGGCCGTCATCAGAGCAAACATTGACCCAGGGCTATCGAGCCGTGCTAGCATCATACCTAAGGGCATTACTTTAGAGCCACCCACTATTAACCTCCGTTGCACGCACATAGTGCTACCCAGGGGTACTTGTTGTACCAGCGGTGCAGAGGTGAGGGCGGAGGTACACCCCAAGACCTACACCAGCGTACCGATGAACTGGTTGGTACGCAAGGTCTCCAGCGCCAGCCAATGACGGGCGGTGGGGTAGCCCTGAGAAGCCCTGCAAATCGGTCTGCAGCCGTGCCCTGATGTAGTGCTGGTGTCAGGGACGCCCCGCGTTTGAGTGGCTCTAGACATGTGGCGCACGCTGAATAAGATGAGTCCTGAGTGGACCAACTTCCCCCCCCTTACGGTACGGTATCGACACCAATCCCATCCCATCCCATCCCATCCTTGCCTGGCCTCGGTAGCTGATTGCCCAGCCTGAGATTCTTTCAACAGCACGGGAGCATTTCCCTCGTCGGCTCTTGTTTGCTGGGAGCAAGTGACTCTCCCAGCACCTCGAACCAGGATGCAGTTCCGGAGAGGGCGAAAGGCTACATACATGACGTCCATCTCCACAGTGCATATTCCCAAGCCAGCGCCCGCACGTTGTTGGGACGATCCTCAGCCGTCGATCAGGTTGCACATCCAGAAATCCCACCCGTCACAGACAGACCCTCATTACCTGCATCATGCCAGCCCAAGATATTTCTCCTGTTCTTATTGCCACATTCCAACTACTGGAGATTATTTATTTGACAGGGCATCCCACGTATTTTATTCCGCACCACGCTGGCCAATTATCCCCTTGAGGCTTGGTGTTCATAGATTGAGACGAAGCCCTTGACCTGTGTGACACAACCCTCGTGTTTTGTGCATGTCACCTCGCACATAAAATGACGGTTATGCCCTCCCTTTGCCACACGACGACAAGTTGCTTCATTCATATCGCAGAATTGAAGGGAAGCTAGCATTAACGCCTGAAGAGAGGGTCCCAACTTTTTCCCATCGTGACGCAGCTGGACAAGGTGCTCACTGTTGGGTACCATTACAGGTGCCGGGCCGGGGCGACGATGATGATATGAGGTGGAGGCCGCATCTCCTTGCAGACCCGGAATCGCTCGAGTCAGGGACGAGGGAAGGGGCACTAGAAGAATCATTGCGTCCGGCGTAATTATAAACCTGCCAGAATCTGCTGGTCAGGGGTTCATCTCGGGACTCTTCCACTCATGGGCTCCGTAAAATCGCTGGCATTTGAAACTTCGGTCTCACCAAGGGAGGAGGTACCGGCATTCGCCCGTGGCCGTTCTTACCAGCAGGCCGCCAAGGGGCCTGGCTATGCCGTAGGTTGCTGCCTGTAATAATATTACCGGCTCTTATTCCAATACTTATGACGCTGAGAGCCGAGCGCAATGGGTCTGGCTGCGTAATCCGGTGATATCCATCACGTGATCTCGCGTTACACTGCTTCACGTAAAGTCACGTCACATCGCATTGCATCGCAACGCGCAGTTCCTGGTTTCCAGTCATAGGGTCCTGTTGCTTTTTCCCGCGGCCCGAGTATCCAGAATCTCGCAGCAGCCGATCTGGGAAGGTTTGATGTTTTCTCATAATGAATAGCATGCAAGGAATCTTGCACAAAACGAGTCTCAGAGCCGCAAATAACGAGCGCTCAACAACGTTCACCTCTGTTACCTCCCATGCCGGGCAGAAGAGAAGCTGGTCCGCGAGTGACACACCCAGCGACCACCATGGTATCACTAGAGGCCCGGTCCAGTTCAAGAGAGCTTCGACGGCCTCAAGCGCTGCCCGGAGGCTTTCTGCCAGCCCAATAGTAAATTTAGAGACACCCGAGGATGGCCCATCGGAATGGACTCAGCGTGTCGCAATTTCAGCCACGCCAACGTCTGATTATGATCCCGAGCTCAGTCTCGCCCACCCGCTTTATGGGCTGCCGCCTCGTCTCGTGCAGAACTTTGCTTCCCTTGGAATCAAACAAATCTACCCATGGCAGAAAAATTGCCTAAAGGGACCCCAGCTCCTGAGCGGTTCTAAAAATCTCGTATACTGTGCGCCCACTGGTGGAGGCAAATCCTTGGTGGCTGATCGTAAGTTTCGCCACAAGCTAGAATATGCGCAAAACTAGTTTCTACAGGCAGTTGCTGATTGGGGTAGTCTTGATGCTGAAACGAATCATAAACAACAAAACTGCAAAGGCATTGCTTGTGCTTCCATACGTGGCTTTGGTTCAGGAGAAGGTTCGCTGGCTTCGCGGTGTCGTCCAGGGGTTAGCCTTTGATGAGAACTCACCGGAGAGTAGTCAGAATCCATTGCACGGGAAACGTTGGGCCGACGAGGACACCATCCGAGTTGTCGGCTTCTTCGGTGGAGGCAAGGTCAGGGCTACCTGGAATGACTTCGATATTGGGGTTTGCACGTTGGAGAAGGTGTGATGCTTTTCTGGAGTTGTCCATCATTTTTTTTTTCGCTCTGGTCTGATATAAAGTCTAGGCCAATTCCCTTATCAATGCGGCCATCGATGATTGCTCGATTTCACAACTTCGAGCGGTCGTGCTGGATGAGCTCCATATGATCGATGATGGCCATCGAGGCTATTTGCTTGAACTCATGACAACCAAACTGCTGAGCTTGGAACAGCGTGTCCAGATAATAGCCATGAGCGCAACTCTACCTGTTTGTTATCCAGTCCCAACTTCACATGGCTCGGCTAACCCAATTATAGAATCTCGACATCATCGCCAAATGGCTCAACGCGTACTCATATGAGACGAAATACCGGCCAGTGCCCATTCACGAGCACCTGGTGTGTGAAGGAAACATCTATCCCGCCGCAAGCACGCATAGTCTTCTCAAAACAGCGTCTAGTCTGAAAAGTCAGCGCTCAATGGAAGATAAACTTTCAGCGATGAGAAGAGTTGAGCCTTCAGAACACAAAGAACTCACTGAGTCAGTCCTGAACTCGGTCATCTCTCTTGCTTATGAGACTGCCTCGGCAGGTCATGGAGTGCTGGTCTTTGCTGGTAGTCGCGGATCCTGCGAATCGGATGCCCGCTGGATTAGTCGGGTGATGCCACAGCCACACGAAATCAGCCCGGAACTTCTTGAAAAAAGGACGGAATTGCTAGAGGACCTACGCAGTCTCTCTACCGGGTTAGATCCGGTACTAGGGGAAACAGTCCTGCAAGGTGTTGCATTCCACCGTAAGTTCCAAAACGTACCATATCCTATGAGATTGCATAGGGTCAGCAAGCGTTAAATTAACCATCTACAATAGACGTAAGTTTCCACACATATCACAACCCAAGTTGTTTCTAACGCTCATTTCTAAGGCCGGATTGACAACAGAGGAGAGAGAGCTCGTAGCCGCTGCATACGACTCAGGTGCAATTCTCGTCTGTGTTGCTACATGCAGCCTTGCTGCTGGTATCAATCTGTACGCTCACCCCCACGCAACATCATGGTTTTGCAGTTCCCTGATTAATATGGAGATAGACCAGCTCGCAGAGTAATACTTCACAATGCTCGCATGGGGCGGGACTTCGTTGGCCCGGCCCTTCTGCGCCAGATGAGGGGGCGTGCTGGCAGGCAAGGCAAGGCCCCTGTTGGCGAGACCTATCTGTGCTGTCGTGAGGGCGACCTGGAACAGGTTGTAGAGCTTATGCATGCCGATTTGCCGGAAGTCATCAGCTGCCTCAACAATGAGAACCGTCGTTTTCACAGGTACTTGTCTCCCCCACCCCAGCTGTACAAGCTGAATGGCTGTTGATACTATTGATAGGGCACTTCTAGAAGTCATCTCAGTCAGGCTTGCTACGAGTCATGAATCTATTCGGGAACACTTTCAAAAGTCTCTCTTACGATATACTCACGGGACCGAATATATTGATAAACTATTAGATACCGGCCTCAAGGAAGTTACTGAACTCGAATTTGTTGTAAAAGGTGAGTATGGGAGTTATTCAGCGACGCAACTTGGCAAAGCCGTCGTGGCTTCCGCATTGGACCCTGACGATGGTGTCTTCATCTATGAGGAGCTCAGTAGGGCCCTAAAGGCTTTCGTAATGGATGGAGACATGCATATTTTATACACCTTCACCCCCGTGCAAGACTTTGCCGCATCTGTTAATTGGCAAGTCTTCAGAGACGAAATGGGATCTCTCGATGACAGTGGATTCCGTGTCCTCCGCATTTTGGGGATCCAGCCGGCCACCATCAATCGACTGCAAGTACTTCCCATGTTTCACCAGTTCACTCTTTCACTTTACTTAGGGGTTGTTGATTCTTGTATTAACAATGGACATAGGGCACAAGGTGCGGCAATGAAGGAAACCACGCCAGAGGAAAAGAAGCAAGCCAAAATATACCGCCGTTTCTACTTTGCCTTGCTACTACGCGACTTGTGTAACGAGGTTCCGGTCCACGTCGTTGCACGAAAGTACGAAGTACCTCGAGGAACCGTTCAAAACCTCTCACAGACCTGCCAGGGCTTCGCGGCGGGGATGATCAAGTTCTGCGAGCAGATGGGCTGGGGAATCCTGGCTGCCACTCTGGACCATTTCTCCGACAGACTGATGGCCGGCGCTCGAGCAGACTTGCTGGAACTGGCCAAGATTCCCTTCGTCAAGAGCCGAACAGCCCGTGTCTTCTGGGAAAGCGGGTTCCGCACAGTTGGCGCAATCGCCAACGCTGACCCGTCCGAGCTGGTGCCGGTTCTGCTGCAGGCCCAGCCAAACAAGATTCGTCAGAAGGGCAAGGACAACAAAAAGTACGAGGAAAAGCTGCTCGCCAAGGCGGAGGTGATATCGAATGCAGCCAATAGATTATGGCAAGCCCAGACGCAGGCAGAAATAGACTTGGGGATGGAGTAGATAATTGCTATAGATTAATAGACGGTGAGGGGTAAGACGAGCAGCGATAACAATAGCCTCTCGCCATTTATCATAGATGAATTAAGAAAAATGACGTTGTTATGAGCCAGACACAATCATGAATCATTTATGGTTTCTATCTTCTAGACTGGTTTTTGAGACAGGCTGCAGTAAACCTCTATATATTTCACCTAGATGGATGTACCCCTTTCTAGGCCACGAGAAAACCTTGTGGATGTTAATCAATCACATCATCTCTCAACCGGAAGAGATTCTGGAGGACCGTTTCAGTTTTTGCTCGAAGAGCGGAATGATACATGACATTCGTCTCAAACACCTTTGTCCCTTGGACCAGGTTCGCGGTATCCTTGGCGAACTCATAGTCGACGTACATGTCGTCGACGTAAGAGGCAGCATAGACAGGAACTGTGTTCTTCTTGAGCTTCTCTTGGTCATATAACGCCGGCCACTGGTCGAATTTGGCAAGCCTCTCCGAGACCTGCTTTAGCTCCGCGAGCTCGGGGTACGTGTCGAAGTGGAATGGGAACACGTTCTCCCCGGAGAAATACAGGGGGCCATCTGAGCCGAGGGCGGAGCTCAGAGGCTGGAGCCACGAGAACTCGTCAAAGTTGCGCCCGACCCGCTCCGAAGCCCAGTTGGAGGCATATCCGGGCCCGTCGCAGTAGATTGCCTCGTGGATGACGGCATAGATGATGTTGGTGTCGAACGGGGTGACGCCCTCGAGGGGTGTAAGACTGGCCCGGGTGAGGAAACCGAACTGATCCAGCGAGGTCTTGAGGTGGAGGATGATGGAATGGACACTGTCGAATCCTCCGTGAGCACCAAAAGAAATCCCGATGGATAACAAGCGTGGCACTGTCAACGATCCACCGGAGGGAAGGGGCACGCCGCCTTTGCCCTCGATGTAGGCGGCGATCTGCCGCACGTTCTCGACATCCTCGGGAAATTTCTTATAGTAGGCCTCGTTCCGCTTGATCACCCTGGGGAAGGTTGCCCTGTACACCTCGTCGGCAGTTTTGCCCACGGGGGCCAGCCCGCCAGTCAGGAAAACCTCCCTCAGACCTTCGGGGTGCAACGACAGGTAGCTGAGACTGACGAAGCCGCCATAGGACTGGCCGAAGGTGGACCACTTCGACTTGTGCTCTGGCCAGCCCTCGGTGAGGCACTTGCGGACGGCTTCACAGTCACGGACAGTATTGTCCTGTCGCATGAGTTTGAGATACTCGAACTGTCCCTCTACCCCGCCGGGTAAAGCCTTGAGCATATCAGCCGATACAGGGGTACTCAGGCCAACACCACGATGGTCGAGGAGCAGGACTTGATATCCCCTAGAGATGAATGACCGAGTGATGGGATGCTCCTGAGGCTCACGGTTCCCAAACCCAGGCCCACCCTCAAGGTAGACAATGTAGGGCTTGGTGGCCTGAGTCTGGATGGCCTCGGGCTCATCCTGAGGGAAAATTGGGACTTCATGTTTTGTAGCACGGCGAGCAAATAAGGTGATTGAAGCTCCAGAGGGGTCGGAATAGTCCAGAGGCACCTGGAACATGAGCTCGGTCACAACATACTGGCCAGGCACGATGTGGTCCTTGCTGCTAAGCAGCTTTGCTGTAGGGATCTCAGAAGTGTCGGACATGTTTATGTGGATGTTCAGACGGTTAGCTTGGTCTGCGAGGTACAGGCCGTTTTCAAGGTCGAGATCAACAGTCATGGAGGACGGGTAGTTACAGAAGTGCTACAGGAGCGTCGGTACGATATCCCACTCCACAACACCCACTACAATATATATACCTACCAATCCAACACTATATAGGTAGCAATGGGTCAACACCTGTCAGTACATGCAGGAGCGGCAACAGGGTGATAAGTGCTCAACCCGATAACTGCGTGCAGCTACAGGGTAGGCGGTAGAACACGGATCCGTCCCAATCGCTTCGCTTCCCGCAATCAAGGAGGTGAGCGGATGTGGGTTTGGGCTCCTCTCCGAGGGCGAAATGCAGGCGGTTGGGAGCGGCAGACAGTGTCGCGCTAGGGCGGGTTAGCACTGTGAGACAGCGCTAGTCCAGCTCCAATCTCGGGGGCTACAGCGCCACTGCCTTCCATCGTCCCTGCCTACAAAAAAAAAACCATCACCTGTTCACTCCCCCCAAGATGCTCTCACCTCTCTTCGCGCACTCCAGCGGCATCCTTAGGCATGGGCATGTCGCACCTTGAGCTTTCGCACAATCTTGCCGATGCCTTCAATGCCCTCGCCGATGAGGCCCAGGGCCTAAACGACCGCCGCATTGTGCTGGAGCACAAACTGCGGTTTGCACACGAGCAGGTAAGCAATTTTTTCACCTGGTCTACACTACCGCCAACCCACACCTACTCTCCTGCACCACGCCCTTTGGCGCCTCTCGCTCTGCCTGGCACTGTCGGCCACATCGGTTCGGTCTTGGGACAACCCAAACCCCGGCGCCGCCCCCCTCCGGCAGGGCCTGCAGTTGAAAGAGAGAGCGATCGCCCATCGGCTGTGTCAGCGCGCTTTCATGATGAATACCAATTTAGCTCTAGATCACGAGCAGCAGCGTCTGCTAAGAGTGAAACTTTTTCTTCAACCCTCTGAACCCAAACTTGCGCACTTTCCACATTTACCATCACTTCACCCTTGCCCACGTTGACGTTACGTCAGCAGTTGAGATGTCATCGATGCTAATGTCGCTCAACCATCCACAGCTCCAATACTTGGCAGACAAGTATGCCCCGGCGACACCTGAAATAGCCGAGACGCTTGCCAAGCTGCAGCTCCCACCGCACACATCTGTGGACAAAGATTCCCCTGTTCCACTACCTCGTCGCGGCTCCCCCAGGTCCCAGCACGAGGTTGCATTGGTCATCAGGGACGGTCGCAGGATGGCCGGTCAGCTTGCATCTCTGGGAGAGGCAAGCAAGACAACTGATTCGACCAAGGACTCGTTTTCCCAGAGTTCCGGAAGAAAATCCTCCATGTCCACTGCGCTGGAGCAGGACTTCACCGTGGAGGGCAAGAAGGGCAACCTGCAATGTCCATTCTCGCAGCCCAAAACTGCCACCAACGGCGCTTCCGAGGGCGAGGGCGAGGATCAGGCACCTGTGCCACCGCACCCAACGCCACATGACTCCACAGACCCAATCTGCGCAGCCATGTCGGCAGCCTCTCAGTCTCAGGGCGGAGATCCAAATGCCACTGCTGGAAAGTGTCCAATACGGTATATGGATCAGCACTCGCCCGAGGAGATTGCACACTATGTCGAAACACATAAGCATCAACTCCCCCGCAGCCATGAGATTTGTCTCCGGCGATATCAGCACAACGAGGAACAGATCAAGAAAATCGACTCCAAGTACGGCAACATCGTCAGCATGATTGAAGGCCTCGGCCAACTTCACCAGCCGATGCTACCTGAAACGGACCAGGATCGGCCTCGTCGTCAGAGTGAGATCGAGCGGGCTTCCAATGAGCGAGTGCAAGACTGGGCCAAGGCCGTTACAGTAACTGACTCCGACGCCATTGAGGAGGCCACCGAATCGGGCGAAGAAGATAGGGAAACACGATTTGATCGCCCTTTCAAAGAAGTCCGTGTTGGTGAATCCCCTAGTCGGCCTTGGGGGATTCATGTGCCCGTGTACGAGCCCGAGGATAATAACGACGAGCAGCGGCAACCTTTCTCCCCGCCTCCCGCTCCTGTGCGGATGCCCAGCCCCTCCCACACGGCTAGGACACCAGTCAAGGAGCCTCTGAAGAAATGTCCCTTCGATCACACCAAGCTCCAGGCTCTTGCCACGGGGCTGCAATCTCCGCAGAAGTCAGAGGCTGGAAAGTCGCCTGCCACTGAAGCTCAGCAGAACTCACCGTTCTCACCTCTCAAGGAGGAGCCTCCGCACGCACAATCCACCGTGCAGCCTCAGCCGGCTCTCATCAACCCTGACATGTCCAAATGGGCTGGAAATGCCCCCCAGATGATCTTCACCGGCCCCGTCTTCATCGGATATCCGGTAGAGCAGGCCATGCAGATCATGAACCAGTATCGAGGCAGCCAACCCTGAAAGATATTGCGTATACCTCCTTTTTTATTATTATTAGTTTTGCTCTTCAGTTCTTACGAAATTGTTATGACCGGACATGAGCGATGGCGTTGGGAAAATGGCGAAAGCATCATGCAATTGGTTTTTTTTTATGATTTCATCCTATTTTGACTTGGTTGTATTCTTTCTCTTCAAAGCACATTAGGCACGGGTGAGGGATCGCGTGGGCTGTATAATGCTTCAGTGCTCCTTTTGATTCCAATGTTTAGATATCCAGTGCTCCTCTAATCATATACTAATGTCTCTATTGTCCACGTCTCCGTTGAATCAGCCCTTATAAACGCCACTAAATACCGAAGCTCCCAGCCATAACATCATTCAAACCCCCAGAAAAAAAGGTCTAACATTTCGAAAGTGAAGGATTAAGAAGGAAGGAAGAAGAGAAGAGAAGAAAACGGGCATCGAATAGCAACATGCCCCGAAAATCATGCTATGTACATAGTCTCGTAATTGCTTCGTCGTGTCTAGGTATGGTGATTTCATTCACTCGAGTTGGCAGGCTTCGAGCCGGGTTGGTCTCCGGTCTTGCCCTTGGACTCGTCCTGCTCGTCGTGGTAGATGTCCGGCTCGTCGAGCTGCGTGTCCCAGAGCGACATGTCATCGTCAGACATGAGGGCCGCGGCGTCCTCGGGGTCCATCATGGTCTCCCCGTCGACGTCCAGGAAGGCCGGGGGCCCGGCTCGGCCAAGCTCCGCGGCCTCTTCTCTGGCGACCTCGGCGGCGCGGGCCATTGTGCGTCTGTAGACGACCCAGCCGACGACGATGCCGACGATGGCGCCGGCTCCCATGCCGAGATAGTTGACCATCCTGTCGCCGAATGACATCTTGTCGCCGCTCTCGGCGAGGGCTGCGAGGCGGCTGCCAATGAACACATGGATAAGAAGTTTTGGGCTGCAAAAGACATGGTGTTAGCTTCCCAAGTTTCCCATTGCCTAAACTGGAGGGGTACAATTTGTACGGGACTTGAACTTACGTCGAAAGCGCCGTGGAAATGGCAAATGCGACGGGCGAGATGCTCGGGATCGTAGCGAGGAAGCCGTTACTCAGGCTGAACGGCAGGGGGCAGAAGCGGATGCCGGTCAGGTAGAGGAGGCCGTCCCGCTTCAGCACCTGGCTGAGCGCGATGAACTTGGCGTCCTTGCCGACGGTGCGGTCGATGTAGCCGCTGAAGACGGTCCTGCTGGCGACGAAGGCGCACAGGCTGCCGAGGGTGCAGCCCGCGGCGACGATGGGCCAGCCGTGGGGGAAGCCGTAGACGAAGCCGGACATGGTGTTGATGGTGGAGTAGCCGATCATGGGCGGGAAGGAGGATATGAATATCAGCGCGAACATGATGAGCCAGCCGCCCGGCAGGGCCCTCCAGGAGGTCGACACGCTGTGCAGCCAGTCGAACAGCGAGTGCGAGTATATCCAGCCGACGACGAGCAGGGCGTAGACGGCGATCACGGCCAGGATGGCAAGGACCCGCTGCAGGACCGTCATCTGGATGTATATCCGCTTGACCTGGTGGTTAAAGATCTTCAAGGCCTTCCAGATCTCCGAGTACCACGGCTTGTTCGCGGCCGGGAGGTCAAAGGATCGCATGCGGCGGTGGGAGGTGGACGAGGACTGGAGTCGCGACCAGCCTGGCGGCGGTGATTCGCTTGTCCGCGACGGCGAGACCGCCAGGCCCTGGGCCGTGGATTCGTAGTCTGCGGGCATCGCAGTAGGTTATGCGATTGGAATGGCTTCGTGAAGTTGCTTTATATGTACTGTGCGGTGCGGGATCTCGGTGGACGGCGCGTCGTTCGTTGTAAATGGATTCTGCGGGACACCGTCTCGTTTGTCTCGTTCTTGCTTCTCCTGTTCAGAAGATTGAAGGTCGGCTAGGTCGGCGATCTGACAGTAAGATTGCAGAAGGGACTGAGATTAATTATGGTTTGGCGACTTCCCAGGAAGTCAGCTCGCATCATGGCAGGAAAGTGTCGGGGTACTGCACTGTAGGATCCTGGCGCAGGCGGAGGGACCGGAGAGTTGCGTCAGGGACCGGCCATCCGCTTGAGGTGACGGATGGGGTTGGTTGGATCTGTGGACTTGTGCGGAGGTTCCTCCATGGGCACTCGTACGAGAGATGCTACCTAGATCTGAAGTACCGGGCTGAAACTCCAAGCGCCACGTGTGGCTCGCCGTCATAATATAACCCGAAATAGACTCGCCTTGGATTTTAGTATCTAACCTTCTGCAACACCAGTCAGCAACCACTACCAACAGTGCAGCCCGCCCATTGGATTGAACGTGCATGATAAATATACAACCTTGTAATTTCATTTAACCATTCAATGGCAGTCACATGGGGGGGGATTGGTTGTAGACATGCATGCATGGTTTGACAGATACACTTAGACCATGGGCACAGACACCTGGGAGTAAGCCGCGGTTTTAAGATCACATTCGAAGGCACAAAGGTCTGGTTCAATAGAAGTTTTTCAAGTTTTACTACTTTCAGGGCCGAGTTGTCATCGGCGGCTACTTGGGCCCTTGGGAGGGTCTCGGACAAGGAGCCTGACTTTGCCATCCCCAATCTCCACGGCTTGGTCGAGGAGATCCTCAACGGTCGTCTTGACTCCTCCCTCCTCGGACCCTTCCTTAGCCAATGCCTTGTCCCAGCTTCGAGCATCAATGCCCAAGATCCCGCCCATGTTGTTGCGATCGCCGGGAACGGAAAATTCCCGGTAGGCGTACCTCCACTCATTGAGGAAACTGCGAATGGCCTTGCCAACCTTATCTTTGCCATTCTTGCTGTGATGTCCTGAGCCAGTAATGGCGTAGATAGGTCGGGTTTCGTGGTCATTTTCCATGAGGATCTTCTCTAGATACTCCACGGCTTCTTCGGGATGTAGCCCGTGGAGATCCACGTACATCTCGGAGCTATTGGAGTTGTTCTTGTTACGCTCCTCATACAGTTCTCGTGCAGCTTCTCGGTGCGCTTTGCGCATGAGATCATTTTCGCTCTGGCCACGAAGACTAAGCGCCTTGGCAGCTCGAGCGTCGTTGCGATTCCATGCTTGAGCAGCACTATTTGATGTTAATACGGAGGTTTTCAATAAACAAAACAAAGTGGTAAGGAAATGGGGGAAGACAAACCTTTGTAGGAACTTATTGCGGAGGCCACCATGCTTGATAGCCTCCTGACGAGCTTTCAAATACGCCTTGTTCGCTTTTTCGCCAGTTTCAAGCCAAGGTATATGTTTCGGACTGGAGATGGCCTGCGCCGCCGGACTGTTCTCTCCATTCTTGAGAGGAGTAGCACTCCCATTACGTCCTATCCGTTTAGCCTCAAGTCGTGGTGACCCAATAACTGGGGACGGGCTCATTCGCACGACATCGGCCAGGGAGTTGGGTGTGGAATTTTCCTTGTGGTTATGCCCATGCCCACCTCGCTTTCCGTGGTGCTTCTTGCCCTGCTTCGTGGCCGATGCAGAGCCGAGGGATGGGAAAGCCTCCGTGTCGTCCAGTGCCGGGGCCGACGGCGGAGCTTCCTTACCCTGATGCCGGCTTCCCGGTCTTGATCGGGAACGAGGGCTGTCAGAGCCGTGGAAGCCCCGTAGACCCGGAGGACCAGAAATACCCAGGTTCGCGAAATTAGGGTTGTTCGCAAGAGCAGCCAGCTGTTCCGGTGTCCCCTGTAAAGAGGGAAAGGAACTAAAATCCTGCAACTGTAGATTTCCTTGGCCTTTTGTAGGCGGAGTGCTCGTTCCATCCATCGCAAGCTTACTCATGAGCTTTGCAGGGTCATGCGAAAAGATGCAAGTCTCTCCTGCCAGACAGTTGCCCATGATCCAATACCTGAGCCGTTTCATTAGCTAAAAGTCATAAAGGGGATACAAGGGAAAGAAACTCACTTGCAAAGGTGGTTGCTCAGGTCATGGCTGAACCGACAGTCTGCGCGGAGACATTGGCCGGTGGACATGTAAAACTTACAGATGACGCCGGTTTTCTGATGGTTAACAGGAGTGCTGGGCCTTCCTTCAGCAGAAAGAGACTTTCCAACCAGGACGCTCTTCACTTCATCAGAGCCAATAGCCAAGCCCGCGTCCTGGACCTGACCCTCCATGAGAGTCGCAATGGTCGCGCTCAAATCGTATCCATGGTCTGCCAGAGCTGCCTCAATCTCTTCGTCGGTTCTAGTGTGACCCAAAATTGAGCGGAGCATATCATAAGGAGACATGTCTATTTGATGGGCAGGCACCGTGAACGAGAACTCTGGTGCAGCAGCATTGAGGCCACTGGAGGTTCCGACAGAGGACGTAACGCTTATGGCATCGTCATTGACAAGCCACTCAACATTCTCGGTCTGGTATTCACCAAGGATCTCGGTGGCTGGCGTAAGGTCACTTGCGAACTCGTATGCACTCAAGTTCGGGCTGTGGGGAATCGAAGGCGTGACAAAGGCTGGTCGGGGCGAGGCTCGTGGCGACGAAAAGGGCGAGGCAGTAGATGACATTGTACGACCAAATGTCGGCGGGACAAAACCGGGAGGGGCCAGGGGGCTTACCCCGAGCCTCGGGGAGCCAGAAAGCGGTGTCCCAGAGCCGCGCCATGAAGCAGGAGAAGGGCGGCGCAGGATAGAATGCCTAATGGCAGGGGGAGATGCTGCTGTCCCTCCCCCATCCCGATATCTCCATAATGCATCGAGGACCGCATTGTCCAGCGAAGGCCCGGCAAGATTTGTATTTGCTCTGAAGAGATCTTCCAATTTATCCGTTTTATCTTCGTCGTCGAGTGTCAGGTCCTGCAGGACAGGCAAACACATGTCGTAATGCTCGTCCGAAACCATCTTGTCGTTATGCTGACGCCTAGCAAGGCTTCGGAAATTCGAACGTGCTGGCCCAGACGATGGGAGGATTGTTTGGTGATCGACCGGAGCTCTGGAGGTGTGGAGGTATCGACGGTGAATAGGTGGAATAGAATCAAAGTATTATCGATAGCATCAGGCTATGAACGATCGGCAACGAGGAAAGACCAAAAGCATAAAAAAAAAAACAGGTACGGTCGCGAGAGCTGAGAGGTCGTTTAGCCCTGGAATGACGTCGCATTGAGGTGAGATGAGGTGCATGTCTGCATCAAAGGGGGGATGGGAGGTCTCAAGGGGTGTGGGAGCTTACAAGGACAAATCAACCGCTGGGGCAGAAGGAGAAGCGAGAAAGCGCAAACGCAAGATGGGAAAAGAAGAAGAGGTCGAGGCGGGAGAGGAGAAGTCGCAAACGTGTAAAATATGTGACAAGGAGGCTCGGTCGCGGTCGATGGGAGCCAGCGGATAGGCGGTAGGTACTATCGAGATAGTAGATGATGGCTTACATTACCTCTAGTTCGCACGTCGCGCCGCCTCTCAGCTGTCTCAGTGTCAGACACAGGCTGAAAGGGGGGAGTGGATATGGAACGTGCCCAGAGCGAACCACCAGCTCAGCTAATACCTTACTGTAGCTGCTAATGGGGTAGCTAGCCGCCTGCCTATAGGGAGCTCTTGCTGGCCAGAGAGTGCCTTGCGGAAGTGAAGACCTGGCAACAAGTCTTGCTCGGCGTTGAAGGCCGTCGCCCTGGACGAGTTCGTTGGCCTTGGCCTGGGGTTGAAACAAAGGTGGTCCACGGCGAAACCGCACATGAGCCGTCGCGAGCTGATGGGTGGTGGGCATGGATGAGCATGGGCCAGGTGGTGGTACGTAGCAGTCGTAGTGGCGCGGCCAGTGGGTGTCTCACTCCTCGCAGGGGATGTCGCCCATGGATGGTCCCTAATGCGCCAGGTTGTAGCACCCGGAACTGCTAGAAGGCACGCTAACAGGCCACTAGCGACAGTGATTGGCTACCCTCTCGCTGCCCTCCCGCTTACACCAACAAGGATGGGCCTGACACTTGCCTTGATTTTTACTATCTAGGTTCGTCAGCTAACCTAGACCCGTGTTGAATACTCACCAGGAGATCACCCCAACAGATCCAAACGCAAAGAAAAGGCAAGGGGAGGGGAAATGTGGCCATGTTATCTGATTGTGATACCTTATATATCTTCCCTTTTCCTTTCGTCTCCTCTCTCCCAAGCCTCCAGTCTACGGTAGGCTCAATTATCCCGGCTGTTGGCTTAAAAGTGTAGCTAAAGAGGCATAATATGGCATGGATCAGGTGATAATTTACATCTTTGTACTTTGGCGCAAGCTTACACTGCAAACCCCACAGAGACGGAACAAAGAGGCAGATGAGCAACAAAGGGGACTACCGCTGGCTACTAGCGTACCATGTGGTTGTTTACGTCCCATAACTAAGCAGATCACATCCTAAAATGCAAGTTTTAGGCACAAGGCTGCATATGTATGTATCATTAGAGACCGGGCATTCGGGAAGTCTCATGCAACGTTTTAATCATAAATGACAGATAGGGTCATGAGTGCACAGAACGGACAAATGGCCATGTGCACAAGAACCTTGCATGTGGCCAGTTTCAAGGTGAACAGACTTCCCCTTTACACCCCCACCTCGAATTCCCGACTTATATCATATTCGATACGCAGCAACCGACGAAGGTACTGTCGAGAGTAGTGAGCGTAAATGTAGTATTCATTGAGACGACGATGGAAACCCTCATATATCCGCCAAGGAAACGCAGAAAACACCAACCATGCTATCTATAAATGATACAGTTACCCGACTGTAATTCTATGTTGAGTTAGCCATGTCGGCCTTCGTCCATTGGGCGGCTGCGTCGATAGTAATCTTGAGCATCTGTGAAGTGTCTGCCTTTGAGCTGGAAGCAAAATTTCAACATGGTCTCGCGGAGCAGAGTGAGGTTACGCCAAATATCAGGTAGACCGAACGAATAACGTGTGGTGCAATTGTTATGTACACTGTAGACTATAAATTATATGCGGATTTTCTACACATGCCGAATATTATGATACATGGCCTGTAGGCCATGACTCTACTTCCTCAAGGTATCTCATCGTCGTCCTCGCCTAGAGCGAAACCGAAACTGAATCCGCCACTTGGCTGTTCATCACCGACAGCGATGGCAGTGTCCCACCGTCTCTTCTTCCCTGCCTTCCTATCCGCAATATCCAACGCCTTTTCAAGAAGCTCCGGATACTTAGCTCCCATCCTCTCGATGAAAAGGTCTGATGGGTTCTCAATATCGTGTCGGAATCCGGATACCTGGTCTGCCTTGTCTCTCAGGAACGACAGCGCCTCGGACAAGTTGTGCAGGCCTGGGGACTGTGGCACGAAATTCTGCGTCAGAGCGATCCCGCTTTCGATGTTTACCACCAGGTGCCACCAGCCACTGGGAACATGCAGAATTTCTCCAGCTTCACAGATCCCCTCGACGCACTCAGGAAGCCGGCATGCTTCCTCATGGAATGTGAGCAGCCACTCTGCGATGCTGAGCGGGCTCGTCACCTCGCTGCTGTCCTTGGACACATAGACTCCTGGAACCTGGGCTGCTGGCGGGAACATGATCCAATACTTGGAGCCCTGGATAACTGCATTCCACGCACTGGTGGCATTTGGATCCTTATGGAAAGTCGAGCCGCTTCGTGCAGGCCCCATGATGAGCCATCGATGAGCCGGTCTTTCGTCGCCCAGCACTTCAAAAAAGTCAGGGCCGAAGCACTCTGGCCGCCAATAGGCTGCCCCAGCCTCATGTCCAACCTTGATGCCCATCTTCTCTGCGAATCCACGATCGAACAAGTACAGGGGGCTTTCATCCCAATTCTTGTCCATATACTTGCAATAAGCAGAAAGCGTCCAATCCACAGCCTCTGCGCGGAACTTGACACCAGCGTAGTCCTTCAAAAGCCTGTCGATGGACCATTGCGAGGCAACGGGCCACGACTGGATGCACTCCGACAGAACAAACGGTTCTTCAGCCCATCGTTCAGCAAACTCCTCGTGGGTGAGGTTAGCAAACCGGCGGATACGGTTGGCCTTGGGGATGTTGGAGGTGAACTGGGCCAGATTGATATTGCTACAGGCGAACGGCCGGTGCAAGACATCCGAAAAAACATTGCTACAGTCGATCCTTACGCCAAAATCCCTCGGGAGGCCGAGAACAGTCGATCTCCAAGATCCCGCCCACCTGACATCCTGGTCATTACTTGGGCATATCCTACAAGGAAACAAGCGCGTGTAAGTCTTTACGGTACGAACCAAATGACAGAGGCAAAACCAGCGCCAACGCATAAGCATTACAAATACAGGAGAGAGAATAAGAAAGAAAGTTCAATGTATCAGTCATGCCTCTGCAGTCGGGGAGAGAGAGTTCCCGTCTGGGGAAGATTTTGATCTGTCACCCCAACCGCGTGCTTCACTGTGACACTAGAAACTTTCTTTGCGAGACTCGTACTTACTGGAGGAACTGCGCCTTCCACAGTTCTTCAGAGTGGCAAAAGGCAAAAAAGAACTTGCACGTGGCCCCGAGCTGAGTCAAAGATGACTGGTCAAAGTATTCGAAAACGACCATCAGAATCTCGTCTGGCAGGGGCAGCCATTTCCCTATGCATTTGCGAGCGCTGGGTCCCTGGAAAAAGTACTGGTTGCCAAGGGGTTTGACTCCTAGAGGATGCGAGGGGATCGCGCCAGATTGGGAGTCATCGCTGACGATTGTACGTGACTCATGGTGCATGGGTGCTGCAGTGAGAGCAGATGGCATGTTGAGCTGGACTGCAGCCAACACGACCTTATTGATAGCAGTGAAAGGGCCCCTAGCGTAGTATGTAGGCAGGCAATATTACGGCGTAAGTTCTGTGTAGCAGTGTAGCAGAAGCCTAAAGCGGTGGTAATGAGAGCTTAAGAATTGGGTCGAAAAGGCAGGTAGCGCCGCCGGGCAAAAAAGAAAAAAACTAGGCAAAAACTCCGGAATACTTCTGAGAAGCTAGGAATGGTATCGGAAATAAGAGATGAGAACACCAAAAGTCCGCGCGAGCAAGTGGACTGGTGAGCAAAGGGTGAATCAGAGTGGTGAGGGTGAGTGAGATTGGGGTTGAGACTGAGATTTAGTAAGTGTGTCGACGAACCAACAGATGTGAGTCAGTCCAAAGGCACAGACGCTTGACGGCAAAATTTGAAGCTGTTGCCGCTAGCACAACACCAAAAAGAGCACCGCATAATCATACGACTCCCATGACTGTGTGGCGGATCGTGGCAGACCCGGTCGAACGCAGGCAAAAGATGGGATTTTTTTTGGTGGACTCACTGTTGGTGCCCTGCTGCTCCCCCCCATTGGCAGGCCCCACACCTGGACCTGGCCACAGCCCTAATGATTGGCTGTGGAGGGGTTGAGCCGATGCGTGGTCCAGCCAAAGGGCCCGAAGAAAAAAAAATACAACCCAGCGGTGCGCCCCTCCGTCGAAACTTTTTTCTTCCCCTTCTTCCTCAACTTCCACAAGGAACCATCCACGACATATATCAAACGCCCATTCCTGGTTCTGTCTGTTCTCGAGAATTTCGAGAGCGCAAGAATTAGACGAAGTTACATTTAATTCCGCGACACTCGCAGCCCCAGTTTGAGGAGCCTGCGATCTTTTCCCACGCTTACCCTTCACCCCGCGATTCCCCCTCCAACTAGGTCGAGCTGTGCTTGATCTAGTTTTTTTCTTCCACAACCGCAATCATGGCTACCGACAAGGGACTCGAGGACGTCCCCGAGGGTAAGTTCCTACCCGCCCCTTATTCGCTTGCGAAAATATTTTTCTCTCTTGCCTCGCTGTTCATTTGGGCATCATATCTGGCTGCGCGAATATGGGTCTTCTTATACCCCCCATCAAGCGTAGCTGGACGGCTTGCATTGCTGCCACTGCCCTTGCGCCCTTGCCCTTGCGCGCCTTTGACGCAGGGCGACGCAATATGTCAATCTCAAAGAGGATCAGAGATGAAACAATTGAGGTGGTTCAATATGCTAACATCTCCCGTCTCCACCAATAGGACAGATCGAGTCCAACTACGATGAGACCGTCGACTCCTTCGACGACATGAACCTCAAGTCCGAGCTGCTCCGTGGTGGTAAGTTGGAACCAATAAACCCACACACCCCAAATCAAATACAGATGGACAGGCTTGTTAACGAGCCCGCGCAGTCTACGCCTACGGTTTCGAGCGTCCCTCCGCTATCCAGCAGCGTGCTATCATGCCCGTCATCAAGGGTCACGATGTTATTGCCCAGGCCCAGTCCGGAACTGGCAAGACTGCCACCTTCTCCATCTCCGTTCTCCAGAAGATCGACCCCGCGGTGAAGCAGTGCCAGGCTCTCATCCTCGCCCCCACCCGTGAGCTTGCTCAACAGATTCAGAAGGTCGTGGTCGCTATTGGCGATTTCATGAACGTCGAGTGCCATGCTTGCATTGGTGGCACCAGCGTCCGTGATGACATGAAGGCCCTCCAGGACGGCCCCCAGGTCGTCGTTGGAACTCCCGGCCGTGTCCACGACATGATCCAGCGTCGCTTCCTCCGCACCGACGCCATGAAGATGTTCGTCCTTGACGAGGCCGACGAAATGCTTTCTGTAAGCCCATGAATCTTCACCCCGCCGTTTTGCCCCGCATTTTCTAACACCCCTGGCAGCGTGGTTTCACCGAGCAGATCTACGACATCTTCCAGCTCCTCCCCCAGTCCACCCAGGTCGTTCTCCTGTCCGCTACCATGCCCCAGGACGTCCTTGAGGTCACCACCAAGTTCATGCGTGACCCCGTCCGTATCCTGGTCAAGAAGGACGAGCTTACCCTGGAAGGTATCAAGCAGTTCTACATTGCCGTCGAGAAGGAGGAGTGGAAGCTCGACACTCTATCCGACTTGTACGAGACTGTCACCATCACTCAGGCCGTCATCTTCTGCAACACCCGCAGAAAGGTCGACTGGCTCACTGACAAGCTCACTGCCCGTGACTTCACTGTCTCCGCCATGCACGGTGACATGGACCAGGCTCAGCGTGACCTGATCATGAAGGAGTTCCGATCCGGTTCTTCCCGTGTCCTGATTGCCACTGACCTTCTGGCCCGTGGTATCGATGTCCAGCAGGTTTCGCTGGTCATCAACTACGACCTCCCCGCCAACCGTGAGAACTACATTCACCGTATTGGTCGTGGTGGTCGTTTCGGCCGAAAGGGTGTGGCCATCAACTTTGTCACCGCCGAGGACGTGCGTATGATGCGCGAGATCGAGCAGTTTTACAGCACCCAGATTGAGGAGATGCCTATGAACGTCGCTGACCTCATTTAAAAAAACGAAAGCACCTTTATCTCTAGACTGTTTCTCCCGGGACTGCTTCTCATCAAGGTGTCTTATTTGACGACGAGACGACTACGACAGTTGGGCATTTCTGGGGTTTTAGGGTGATCAATCTTTTTTCCGGTAGTTGTCGATAGATTCGCCTTTTTCTCTTATTTGTTTTTTAGAGAGTCCCCCAGGACGGCGTCGACGCTGCTCTTGGGGCGGCTTTTCAGGAATCGGGGTGAGACTGGATTGGCCGCGTGACGATGGATCAGGAAGTCCTTTACACCTTTAATGCATGGAGGTGTGGCGGGCTCCTAAAAAAGTAATGCAAGTGGTTCTTTACTTGCTTTGTCCTGTAGCTGTTTCTGTATCTACGGGATTACTCTCACGAATCTTATTTATTTATTCCTTTAAACTCTGTTCTAATTATCCTTTTGGCACGGCATGATGTCGTCTAGGAAAGTGTCGTCTCAACCAACTCTCCTGGTGGGTCTACTGATATTTCATGCTGTCGAAAGTAATGATTCAATGCAGCCCTGCATAGCCGTGGTTACTAGTTAAAGAATTTTCCAATCAGGCCGCATGCTTTAGTCATTGATATTTTTAGCCCTATGTGCAGAGCCAACCCTGCACACCTGGGCAAACCATCGCAGATAACATTGAACCCTGGTGGCCGAGATGGTGTAGAGAAATCAAGGTCAGCCTGTGGCCTTTACAGCACAGGGTTTTCCTTGACGCACCTCAGGCCAGAAAGGAGAGGAAGCCATGGCTTGATATGCATACTTGGTGGATTAGTTTCAGTCTTGCTTCGTTTCCTCAAGTTGGTTGCCTCCGGCTATTGAAAGCGCTCAAAGCTCCAGCGAAATAATATGTTTCCGGATGGTGTCTCTCAATAAATGAGATCGTTGGCTGGAACTTGATTCACTATTATGAAAGCAAAATGAGATATGTTACACCAACTGCAAATACGAGCAGTTGTGGGATTGTATGCAACTGGCCGACGTGGTAATCGAACAGGCATGTAATTGGCGGCCCTGGATGACTTTTTGAAAGAAGAGGAAACCAATCTAGATGTGTTAACTTGTCTCTCAGCTGTTTATGAAGAGAATATTTTAGGATGTGAACACCAATGCCGCCTGTATAAGAACCGAAGCTAAGGACAGTACAAGATCTCACCGGCACCTGAAATGACGTGAGTATTCCAGCTCCAACTTGGTCTATAGGCATGAATACTGTATAGTATGTGCTTGCTTCTAATAGTGCCGACATTAAGGATGTTTAGTTATTGCTCAAGATAGTACAAGATAAAGGGGAGTGTGGTGATAAAGGGGTACAATGCCTAATCCACAGAGACCACTTTATCGCCCAGGGGAAGAACTAGAGGACCGTATATATGAACCATCCTTAATAGAGTTCCTCCATTGGCTCCCATGTAGTAAAAATAGGCGGGTAATGACTTAATTTACGCGTAATTAAATTACAAAAGCAGTGATTGGTTCTGATGGTAATACCAGCAATGGTTGTCACTTCACCTCGGTTATGAGGTGCCACGACAACCCTCTCGATCAGAAGTTCCAAAATCCATACGAGTTATGAGAAAATTACTCGCCTATTATTTCGGAAGAGCTCGGCAGAGAGAGGTTTATTGTTCCTAAAGGAGGTGTCGAGTTTCCCGGTTCAAGTACAATTGATCACTGTGATTGAAGTATTGGATTTCTTTTATAGTTCAATTTGTTCTTTTTTTGTATTTTCATTTTTTTGGAGCTACCATACTTTGGATAGATACGAAACAACTAAAGAGACTGATTGTGTATAAAAAAGATAGAAGATTGAGAGATGAAGAAATGCTGAGAAACAGAGAGACCTTGAAAAAATGTCATGATCGATAGAATCTCGCTTCGTACATGACGAGCCAAAAGGCATGCTTTTCCCCAGAAATTAGCAAAAAGACTCGATGTTGAGGAGTCGCCAGCAGGTGCATGTGTATGTAGATGTGTATAAAATAAAAAGGTATCCAAAAAGCCTCCGTTCATCAATTCCGATTTCACATTAAACGCCAAGGGTATATATTACGGGATCGCCAGAAGAGAAACAAACAACCAATAGACCACAGTGCCAGCCTGAAGATGAATTATGTACAGACGCCCAGGCTCAGAGCGAAGATGAAGTTTTAAAACCAAATGCGCAAACGTTTATAGGAAGGCAAGTCCTTTAACGCTGCTCCAGATGGGGTTTGAAAGCCTGGCCAGCATATGCACCTGGGATGGGCACAGCGTCGTATACGGGCTCATCATCAGCGATTGTGGTGGTGTTTGGGTTGTTTGAGCTGGGCCCTTGTTCAGTGGTGGGACTGAATGGTGATTGTCCCGAGACCGGGGTAAATGGCGACTGCTCCGTCTTGGGGGTGGCTGAGGGAGCCTTCTTGGGAGGGGCCTGGAGCTTGAAATCGGGCTTGGGGGAGTTGAACTGGGATGTAGGCTCGGGTAGCTTGCCGCCAGGGGTAAAGGGGCTCTCCTCGATGTCGGTCAGGTTGCGATAGGCAGCCGGAGGATGACGGGGCGACATGGCGTACTGGCTCAATGCCGGAGACTTGGGGCCAAATCCGGGAGTGTTGGGGGCAGATTGTGCGCGGAGCTGGGCAAGGTAGAGATCAGAGCGGGCTCGGTCTCTGTTATCCATGGTCTTGGCGAGGCGTCGCTTGGTGTAGTAACGGTAGAAGACGACACTGTAGAGAATGATGCAGAGGACCTCGATGACGACCTCGATAATGATGCAGATCATGGCCCAGTTCTGAAGGCGGCAGATGAGCTGGTAGTTGATCTTGTCCTCGAAGACAGATTCTCGCTTGTTGTTGACGCAAGACCATCCCCACATGTCCTTGTTGTTGCTGTTGTTCCTGGAGTTCTGGTAAAGGGCGGCAGTGACTCCCCAGAGAATCAAGCTTACGATGAACTATCGTAAAATGTTAGCTACTTTGTCAAGGCCGGATGACTTGAGGGTGGGATATCCAACATACCCAGCCAATGGCAAACATGTGGTAGTAGGTGTTGACCTTCTCAGCGCGCTTGTGTCCACGTCGGAAGAAAGTGATGAAGACAATGATGCAAGCTGTCAGAGACACACATGCCATTGCAAGGACCAACTTCTGAGGCCAGGTATTGGTACTGTCAGCCCAGGGTGGGAGGCTGCTCTGGGAAGGAAGCGCTCTGCTAGCATTGAAAATGGCGAAGGTTGAAGAGAGCATGCACAGGATAATGAGGGAGCAGCTGAAGTTCACGCCGCGAAGAGCAAACTTGGCCATGCGGACTCGAGTCTTGATTTTCTGCGGGAGGTGTCAGTTGCAGTCATGAGCAGTCCACCAATTACTCGACTTACCAGATCACGAGCTTGTTCTTTGTCGGTGGCGAGTTCACGCTTCTCCAAGACGTCCGCCTCGTTGAATGTTGGGCTCATGGGGTTACCGAACCTTCTTCCTGGGGTTCCGGGAATCTTCATGGCGCTCCTCAGTGGCGTTTTGGGAACTTGCGATTCTCCATTGTTGATATAGCCGAATCCAATATCAGCGGGCTGTGCCTGAACAACGACCTGGGACTTCTCAGGGTCGGCAAAGGGGGACCGGGTTGGTTCCACAGGAGAATGAACCGATGTAGCCTCTGCAAATCGAGGTGTGCGAGGGTGCTTGAGAGAGCTGTCCGAGGATGAGTTCGAGCCTGTTGATGGAGAGCGGGCAGGTGTGAGGTTTAGAGCGGTAGGCCGCTTCTTGTCGTCTTCATATGATGTTAGTATCCAGATCGTCTCCCGGTGTACAAGGCAAGAAGACTTTAACTAACCTGACCCAGTCATGATGGGTATATGTGTGTAAAAAAGAACTAAGCAGACAATACGGTCAGATCCGAGGCAGTGTAAGTCGGGTCTGTAAGACAAGTTGAACAATCCAGGACACCCGCACAGCGAAGTCTGGAAAAACAATGGAAGATGAAATGAGATTGTTGAGACCAGCTATCGAGGGAAGAAGGAAGAGCAGGACCAGCCGGCAATAAGAGGGAGGTCCAGACTTTTGAGAGTCTAACATGCGAGAGGAGAGGAACTGGGGAGCAGGGCCAAACGTGGTAATGGTGGGACCAGACAAAGCATAACACGGGATCGTGGATCCTTACCTACAGGTATGGAGATGGGTAACGTCGGTCTCTGATAGGTAGCAGGGGTGGGTTTCCTAGTGACAGAAGCTGCACTTAGACGCCGACTGCTTGTCGATCCGGGCGCCTATACCAAGCCAGCGGTCACCAACGACAATGCGACAACGAGAGTGGCCGAGCGGCAATGTTTGAGAGATTGCCAAGTTCCGAATCCAGGCCACGACGAGGGGCGGCGCGAGAAGTCGACTGAGATTCGTTCCTGGATGAGTCCAAAACCCTTCGTTTAACAGGGAGGAGAGAAGCCAGGTCACCCAGGAGTGGCGGGCTAGGACAATATAGCGAACATCTTGCCCACGGAGACACCCACACAAACACCGACCGAGCTACATAATCAACCATACAGAAGGAGAGGGGAAGCCGGCCAGCTTGGCTTGGCCCCAGACAGAGGGCTGGTCAGCACGTACGAGGTGGTAGCAGGTAACCAGATCCATATTTAGCGATCCTGGTTGCATCGATGGCAGCCACTGAGCACATTACATTACCGCCTCTTGTTGAAGGGGGGTCCATTGCGTTCAACCGTGTACTTGCTTTTGTGCTTGGAGAGCATCGAGAGTCGGCTGGAGTGAGATGTGATGGATGTGCTTGGCTGTGGGCCGGCGGCGGAGGGCTGCCTGTGGTTGGCCAGCGTCCAGGGCCCCACCGACGAGTCAAGCAGGAGCCCCAGCTGCCGTCTGCATTGCCGCCAAGAAGCATGCGATAGCGCTGTGATTGGCCCCGTAGCTTGCACGGGAGCCAGGTCTCCGCCCAGCCAGCAGCCAATCGGGAGCTCCAGGAGCCTCGCCATGGGGGTGGGCCCCAGCCACGCTGCAC